AATTTTTATTGTGAAAATACTGTACAGAGGGGTTACAATTACATGGGCAAGATAATGAGTACATTTCTTATCAAGCATTGCAGCCTCCTCCTTTGTTTCCCCTTCCCATCCCTTCCCATCCTCCCCCCACCCCTCTCTTAGCTTTTTCCCTCAAAGCTGGTACTCTACCACTTGAATCACATTTCCATCCATTTCCAGCTTTGCAGTAGTTAAGAGAAAAGAATCTCACAGACTTTTCTGTTCAGGCTTCAAACACTGATCCTCAGATCTCAGGCTCCTGAGTAGCTAAGATTACAGGCATGAGCCACTGAGGCCAGGCTTGGTTAACTTGATTTTTTGGGGGGAGGGGGGAGGGTCGGTCATGGGGCCTGAACTCTGGGCCTGGGCGCTGTCCCTCAGCTCTTCAGCTCAAGGCTAACGCTCTACCACTTGAGCCACAGCGCCACTTCTGACCTTTTTCTTTTTGCTTATGTGGTGCTGAGGAATCGAACCCAGGGCCTCAGGCATGCAAGGCAAGCGCTCTACCACTGAGCCACCTTCCCAGCCTGGTTAACTTGATTTTGAAGACAAGTTTCAACTCCTTTTGAAAGAATGAGAAGCCTGGGCCATACTGGCCTGCATTCCACCTCTACAGCGACAGTCGGCTACAGCAGTGGCAGCCATTCCCTCACCTACTCTGCAATTAACCCAAGCCCCTAGTCCCTAATTTGACTGGCTTGGCCCTTGTAGCATGTAAGTTTGCCATCCATGCCCCGTGGCCCAAGGGTACAGCTGGGATTCCACCAGGGCCTTAACAGCTCCAGCCACTCTTCTTCTTGGTCAGTGAATAATAGCCCAGCCCCCAAGTCTCCACAATAGCCAGGAAATTGGCTCCAAAGACATCTCTAGAGGTAGTGGAGGAGAACAGTCCACTCTCCTCACCCCAGCCTCAATAAATGAGGTCCAAGGTCACACTAGCCTTTTGTGTAAAACCTTTACCCTGGTGATTCACTGGGCTTCCTATCAACTGAAAAAGCCTCCACTTCTTGGCTTAGGATGGGTAACTAAAAATAACAACACAATGTCCTATATAAACTTGAAGCTTGGAAAGGTTTTGTTGTTTGTTTTTGAGTACTACAGACTCACAGGCAAGCACTGTACCTCTTGAGCCGCAAGACCAGCCCTTTTGTTTTGTATCTTGTTTTTGAGATAATCTCTCTCTAATCTTGCAAAAGTGAACTCAGAGATCTCATGCCTCATTCATCCAAGTAGTTGGGATGTCAGGTATTACCATGCCCAACTCACCAGGTTCTTGTACAACCATTACAGCAAATCTGTGTAGCAAGTGTTTTATATTTGTCTCCCACCCTACAGATGGAGAAACTGAAAAGAGTCTTGAACTATGCACAGCCTGAAGATGAAGGCTTTAACAAGCCTGCTAAGGAGGCAGGCTCTGGTGGCTCATACCTGTAATTCTAGCTACTCAGGAGGCTGAGATCTGACAATAGCAGTTCAAAGCCAGCCTGGGCAGGAAAGTCTGTGAGACCAAAAAGCTGAAAGTAGAGCAATGGCTCAAGTGGTAGAATGTAA